CACTCACCTCAGCCTCCCAAAGGCGTGGGATTACAGGCTGAGCCACCAAGCCCAGCTAGTCACCTCATTCTTAATGTCGATATCCTCACAGCAACATCCTTTGTGGGGTGTGACATGAGGAAGAACTTTTTAGCTATCAAAGTCATCAACAGTTGGCTCTGGTCAGGGAACCCTCTTCTCCAGAGGTCCACAGACAGAGGAGGGACATCAGTCCTTCTTGTGTCCCAAGGATGATCCCTCATCATGGATTTCCACTTGTGGAGGTTGAAAGGTTCTTGGTCTCTTCCAACTAAACCCTGGAACACTTCCATGCATTGTCCTGTGTAGTGAAGACTTAGGGCCGACTCAGTCAATACTGGATTTTCTCTGTCTGAATCTCCACACTGCCCTGAAGCCCCTGAAGTCATTTCATGGGACCTGGGGGAGGGGTGGTGATAATCTCAATACAATATGACTAACAACTGAAATCAGAGCAATACAGGGCCTTACAGTTCATTCAGTAATTCAAAAAACATTAATCTCCGAACTTTTTTTCTTTGCTTTGTGGAAGAGAAGCTATTATGAAGTTAAATTAATAGTAATCAATGATTATCACTTCAAACATTTGGGATGTACTGGTTGTTGTAGGCAAAGTTGGTAAGTGAAACCCATAATGATGAGCTGGAAATCACATTCGCTCTATAGTTGCCAAGGACAAAGGCAGGCTAGGCGCAGTGGCTCACGCCTGTAATCCCAACACTTGGGGAGATTGAGGTAGGCGGATTGTGTGAGCCCAGAGAGTCAAGTCTGCCATGAGCCATGATGGTCATGATCAAGCCATCACACGCCAGCCTGAGTGACAGAGTGAGACCCTGACTAAAAAAAAAAACCAAACAAACAAACAAAAGAAAAAGAAACAAAAAGCACTCAGCTACCCTGAGCACACTTCCTGTCTAGAACCTGACGTCATATTACATTGACAGTTTTGAACACCAGACAGTGACTCCCGGTTAATTCTCGAAGAACACTGCTTTCATATCTATCCTCCTCCTACTACCCTGACTTCAAATAAGTATGGGCTTTTTTCTTTTTTTTTTTTTTCTGAATTGGAGTCTCACTTTTTT